TCTATAATTGTATTTAGCAGAACAAAGCATCATTTGAAAACATGGCCATTGGGAGGGGGTGGGGGAGCACACTGGATATCACACGAAAGCTGTCTCGACAGTTTAATTAGTTAATTAAATGTTTAGTCAATACAACCATTCCCATCAAATACTTATTTATATCAAGTGGCAGGCGTCTGGATGGTTATCATTAGCCCTTTCGTTGACTTCAGGCTTCACAAAGGGGAAGGAACATCAAATTGAAAAATTCGAGAGGGGGAAGAGAGGAGTGTTTCAAAGATGTAAGAGACAAAAACAAAAGTAGAAAAAAGGAGAGGTGAATACTGTGAAAAAGTCGAATATGGCATAGAGTGAGGTGATGGTAGTTCGAAGTGAGAAGTCAACTGCCAGTCAATTAACTTTTTTGCCGTATCAATATACGTTGCCCAGGGTGCACCACGTGAAGGTAAGACTATCGCACACCCCAATTATTATGTCATTTATATGGAGTTTTCCAGCTGAGCGAAAGTTGATCTTTTAGGTCATTCAAGGGGAGCAGAGTGGTAATGAAGATATGACCATTTTAAGGGCAAAAAGCACACTATTGCAATCTAAGCGTTACTTATGATTAATATAATATATTTAACATTAACATAACCATTGAATTAATATTGTTATGATAGAATGATAAGGTAAAGTCGAAAATGTTACATGTAGGAAAATGCAAACTTCAGGACATTCCCAGCACAGTTTCATTCATACTTATATTCCTTTGAGATTTTAAGTGCACTTTATCTGAAGCAATTCATTTTAACGAAACATGTTCTGCGTTTGATGGGAATGGTTGCATTGACTAAACATTCGTGAGCGAATGGTAAAAGCGAGAACAATAGGAGGAATACTAATTTGCAAGTAATAGAGACAAATTGATTTGAATATTTGTCCTCTTCAATTTTACAGTTTAATCCGTTAACATTAGCATAGGCTCTTAACGATATTTAGTTATTAAACACAGTCAAATGCTACAAAGGTCAATAGTTGTTAAGTCCAATTAGTACATGGTTACATAATCCCCTGTGACTAAACAAATAAGTAAACATCTGATTTCACAAACCAAACCATAGTTGTTTGAAGAAATTGAGTAAATGAACAAAGGTATCGTCTCCTATAAAGATCAAAGAATGAAAGCATTTCACTTCCTCTCTTCTACTCGAGCATTATCTGCCATTCAATTAACTTTGCCTTTGGAAGTGGAATTCATTTTTTCCTCCCACTCGGCATTTTTTCGGCGCAAATGGGTTCTGATGGCAACTTCGTTATTAAGAAAACAGTAAATAGTTTATTTGGCCTAAACACATTATGCCAAATATTGCCTAAAGTTCAGGTTTTAAGGACATTGTAATGCAAATGGCAAATGGATAGAAAGTAGGTGGAGGTTAATGAATTGAATCTATGTTTCACCCAAGTATTGCATTGAAAAGATAAATTATAAACACAAAAGTTTATTTAAAGGACATATTTATTCAAAATACTTTCAACAGTATAAATATTTGCATTAGCATAACCAATGAATTAATATTGTAATATCAAATTGCATTGTGATGGATGACAAGTTAACACTAAATGATAAGGGTGGGAAATGCGAAAATGTTACATGTAGGGAAATGGAAATTTCAGGACATTCGTGGCAAAGTTTCATTCATTTTAACTGTCCTGGATAAGGGGGACTTTTCATCACTTAAAAGCATTTCGAAGGGAATAAATGGTGAATATGAGGAGGATGATGAATCGATTTTTTTCCAAAGAAGAAGAAATATTTGTTAATTAATCGGTTTGAACCTCTCTCGAGATCAAGTTATCCAATTAAAGGAACAGCTTCATTTGACTCTACAAAATGGGAAAAGTTATAATGCAATTTAAAGCACCATCATGACACCGTCTTGATTTCTAACCTAGATATTCTGCTTATCTTAACTTCAATCGGTCAAATTTAATTGGAACAAAACTCAATTTATTTTTACTCACACTGTAGTCTCAAAAATTGATATTTAAAAACTGAGTGGTCAAGTCCACGTAAGAGGAGTTAGTGAAACAAAGAGGCTATCTTTTGAAATACTGAGGATATTACCTGATTTGTGTACTGTTCTAATATGTTTTGGGCATTCGACCTGTCCGCAAATTTCTTCGAGCAAATTGGACAATTGTATGGTTTCTGCCCTGTATGGGTTCTCATATGGTTATCCAGTAACCATTTCCGAGAGAAACTTTTATTACACTGTGGACACGAATACTGCATTTCATGCGTGGCCTCATGATTTCTAAAATGAAGAAAGGTCACATTATTCAAATATTGCAATGGATACTTCAAAAGAACTTGACATTAATGTCATGTTATCGTCTTCCTTCGTGGAAATGCTTCGATTGCTTTGGTCAAAGACAGAGTGTCAATCCTACTGAGCGAAAGGCAAAACTTACCGACAGGAGGATTTTCTCGTATAGGCTTTCGAGCAGTATCGACATTGAAACGGAGGCTTCGCATTGACGTCGATGGAAGCTGGTCAGCCTCACTAACACAAAATTCCCTTGAAACTCGTTTCAAATTTACAGTAGCATTAAAGGAGAGCATCAATGAGGTACCTAATCCACTATCGTCACCTCTCTGTTGCCTATTTCGATTCGCACTTGAAATGCTGATTTGTGGCGGCTCTTGAAAATCTCGAATTGATCTGCCAGTGTCAAATATGCTTGGTAGTGAAAACAAGCTTAAATTGGGCATTGTTTCTATAGAATTTCTCTGGTTCACCATCGTGCTGCTAAGAGGGTTAAAAATTGGATGGAAAATCGATTGCGCTGTTATTGGGAAATCTAAATAATAAACAAATGTTAGAAATATCAACAAATCGAAAATCTTTTAATGTCAAAATGCGAACAAACCTCTGTTCAAATGATTCAATTCAATGGGGTTTGGTGCTTGTGAACTTTGAGAAAGCAATTCAGAAAATCGGGGATGGACCGTTGAAATGAGAGCAGCGAATAAGTCTTCACCAGATTGAATCCCCACTGATTGTGGAATTGAATTTTCTTCGCCAGACATTTCTCTTTGCATAGTACCTGACAGAGGTGTAAAGTGAACCACCACGGTCTTTCGAATGACTTGAAATACTAATGATTCATGAGGATAATTGTCGTTTTGTTTCTGATTGGATTTAAGATGAGGTAATTGACCCAATCATGTATGGGTCAGGGTACTGTAATTAGAAATTTCGACCATTAAAAGAAGGCATTATTTCAAGGGTCCTGTCAGTGTGGAATATTGTGCAATTAAGCGTGCATAGTGCCAAATTTGTTATCCTCCATTTTGGAGGAGATTTTAACTGAATGACTCGCACAGTTATAACTTTAGTTTTAATAAATATTTAAAAAATAGAATGCATTTTCGTTATTGGAGGTGTTTTTGTTTTACTAAAAGCAAAATGCGCTGAAATATGGTTAAGTCTTACAAACAATGAGCATTTGCTCAGGCGCCCCTATTTTTCACATCTTAATGGGCACTATTAACACCTCTCCCCTTAACCACTTCGTTAATTGTGCCCCTCTAAGATCGGAGTCACTTGTGTTCAAAAGTTCTCCGAACTCAAACATTCAGGCTAGAAATGGACTAAATAACAAATGAGGTGAACAAACGATAACTCAGAGATTTTAAGGGACTTGCAATGCTAATATGAAGACATGTCAGCTGTTTCGAGCGACGCATTCATGATCTCTTCAACTAGGTTGTCTATGTAAGTTAACGAAGGAATTCAATCACTTTTACCTTATTCACGTCTTATTTCACTCAATATTTCTGCCAGCATCATCATTAGTAGAAATAATAAGGACTCAATATAATCAAATATTTTTTATTTGGGTTCGCGATTGACTTACTTCCACGTATAAAGACCATAAGCAACGTATACTCTTACGGCAAAAAAGTTGACTTCTGTTTTCATATTACTATTGCCACACTGTATATCTAATTCGACCACTTCCACAGTTATCACCTTACCTCTGTCTCTACATATGTATCTGTATCTTTCAGATCTTTGAATCACTCTTCTGTTCGATCCACCCTCCCCCCACTCACACAATGTTATTGACTTTGATTTTCCTTTCCTCTGTGAAACACGAAGTCTACTAAAGTTCCAACGATAACTAACGTCAAGCCTACAATTTGGCATAAAAGACATATATCAGTTAATTTGTAGCAAAATGTCTCAGGTGAATCCAATAATTATGGTTGAATCAATGCAATTATTAAAGAATGTGCCTAAATTGTGTTTTTAATATACCATTCATGTATATTCAAGAACTATTTGTAACCCCTCTTACTATTTTCGAACGATTTAGTAGGGTTGATCGCCTAAGTCCCATTGCACAACCAAAAACTGATGAGATCTGTAAATCGTGAAATGACATAAAATAGGCACTTCCATATAGCTCCGAATCTCGAAATGAATGTGTAAGCAAAAAGAGTACTGGTTGTTTATTTTTGAATATACCCTTTAGTGAGTTCCGATTTAAATGTGGCCATAAACCATTTGGCAAATAACTCCCAATATTGTTATGTCAAATTCTTTAATTAACAACTATTTTAATTTCTTTTTGATACCGTAAAGAACACGAACAAAGCTCGACTTGATTTCATTGCTATGGCACTATCAAACTGTCCATACCTAAATAAACCGGAGGCATTTTTTGTGGGGGACACAACTTTAGCATTGCAAAGGCAGAGGTCTCTTGACCAAACAATGAATAAAGTCAGGACATCTAATCAACGGTCAATGCCAGAACGGGGTTCTTTTATCAGAAAATGCATGTTATGATCAACTTCAACACCACTACACACAACCCTGTGTAGATTTGAGTTTGATTATTGAATTCTGGGAGCCCTTACAAACCTAGGAGACATTATTGTAAGGGTGGGAAATGATAACTTTGAAATTTGAGACTACAGAATCTATCTCACATGTCATCATTCAAATTTCCTTTGACCCTCATCGCCTGATGTGAAAACAGTGGAAGGCGCTATTTGGAGGGCCTTAAAATGTGCAGTCTTGTTTATATAGGTTGGAAGTTTAAAATTAAGGAAATGGGGGTTGCGATATGGCTCAAGAGCATCAAAAGACCAATTGATCATTTTTGCATCAAAATACACCTAATATGG